CGCCTCGCGCCCGCGCCCCTCACCGCGGCCGCGCGCCCGCAGGGAGCCCCGCTGCAAGCGGCCGCCAGGCCCGTGGCGGAGGCGGCGGCGGCTTTTCCAGACGGACCCTTCCGGCAGCGGGAGGAGCGGCCGCCGCCCCGCCCCGCGTCCTGAGGCGGCCCCTGCTGCCCGCAGCGCCCCGCGGCTCCCCCTGCACCGCGCGGCAGACCTCCGCCGCGGCCGCTGCTCCGGGCGCTCGGTGGGGTCCCTCAGGACAAACCCTAGGGAGAAAACTCCTAAAGAGCCCGACCTGCTCCCGCAAACTGCCCGCTCCGCCGCTCATGCGGGAAATGATGACTATTTTCCTCAAGAAGATGTGTCTTTTCCTCAAAAGGATGGCTGTTTTCCTCAAAAAGATGTTTGTTTTCCTCAAAAGGATGGCTGTTTTCCTCAAAAAGATGGCTGTTTTCCTCAGTCCACTATATCACTTGTGTCGGACACCTTTTCCAGCAGCTAATTGACACTCCTTCATTTCACCTCATTACTAGCGGTTGTGTCCCCACACACTATTTTATTTTTTTAACTCTTACAATATTTTCAGTACTGATATTCTAGCGAGCTGCTATATACATATATTCGGTTTCCTTTACCCTTTCTSCATAAACCAATCTTTAAATCTTTCAGTGACTTTCTAGCACTGTGTATCCCAGAATATATCGTATGGGGCATGGGGAACCGTCTTATCAGAGTGGTGCTTCATAGGACTGTTTCCTCTTACGTTTACCTTGATGTTCTTTGCTTTTTTTTTAACATTTTTTCCCATTAATATCATTTTTCTTTCTTTTAAACTGCCCATATAATCTTTACTATGAACAAGAATCCACTGGGCCCTTTCTGGGAAGATGTAAAGCTGTTTGATAAGCAAAAGTCAGGAAGATAGTTAAGCAACCAAGGAGTCTCCACTGTCTAAAGAACTCAATGGCAAACCTGTTGACCAGGCTCCTGATACACTAATGATATAGTTCATGGAGTTAAATGATAGTGGCTGGCTCTTTTATGAACATTATGTAGAGGTAACMCCTGGGGCTTGATCTGGAAGAGATTAATTTACAAACTTGTTCAGGAGGAGGATTATTTGCAAAACAAGGAAGGATGGATCTAAGCGAAGCTGTCAAACGAGATGGGCAAAGATAGCAACTCAATGAGCATGATGAAGAAGAGCCATGAAGTGAGTGGCTGCATAAGCAGAAATTTCTTAGAGAAGAGTACCTGGCTAATAGAAGTACAGAACGCCTTTTACCAATGACAAACAGACGAAGTCTCAGTAAGAAATCAGTATCAGTGTCTAACCAAAGTATATTTGAGGCTAGAGTCYAGCAGCTCTTTTCCAGGTTGCTTTGTTCTGGAGCAGAATGGTAGAGCATATGGAAACTTCTGTTTCACACAGATTATTGTTAGACTTCTGATCAGCAGGAAGARGAAATGATAGATGCAGTAGATGTCATAAAGCAACACCCTCTCAAATTTGAGTCATTATTTTGTGATAAGGAAGCACTGCAGTTTGAAGATACCCTTTATCTATTTTCTTTGAAATTTTGCTTCAGATTTCCATCAGATACATGACAGATAGATATATAATGGCTGCAGAAGCGTGTGTTTCAGTTTTCTGATCCAGACACATATTATGGGTGAATCTTAAGCTGTAATGCAGTACCCAATATGAGCTGAAGTTTGTGCTTCCTTCTTGATTGGATGTAAATGTTTGGCACCAGGCTTGTAAACCACACATGGAGTATGCATGTCTTTGTGCTGAAAGTGTCCTTCACAAGATCTGTCTTTGCTGAGATTTGAGAGGAGTCCTTGAGAACCTGAGTGTATCTAAGTGTGTTTCAAATTCTTAAGTAGTCTTCTTCACTTTGCTCTTCCAAAAAGGATGTCAAGGGCAATACGGTGAGGAAGACTGGAATGTCTAGTCCTCAATCACTGTCTTCCTTAGCTTTTCTTATATGAATGTACAAAGGAGGAGGCTTGCCTCATTCAGAGAGCTCACATTAAGATCTGATGAGTCACAAATGGAGCTTTTTGCTTTGAATATTTGTCTATGTTTGCCTCTTAACTTTGATCCCATCTCTCTGAGACAATGTATGGCTTGGCTGCATTGCTGATTTTACTTGTGACTCTGCCACGTGACATCAAGAACCTCTGCTGCAGGAACAGCCACCGGTTTAGAGGCTGCCACCCAAGGAGTCTCRGGGTGCACAGAGGTGCAGAAGGCTGAAACAGAGAGCATCCTTCCCACCAAAACATACCCAACAGCAGCGACACAGGCTGCGGCAACAGACCGTCCTGTTAGTTGTTTAGGAAAGTTGTCAAGCACTAACACAAATGAGGTAGTTAAGTGGAGAGGTTCCTGTAAATTTACAGCARGCTAATTTGTGTGAGCTGCTAGTCTCTGTCTCCAGCAGAGAAAGAGCCAGCGGCCACATCCCCCCGTCTATTCAAGTTCCCCTCTCCGAGCTCTGTTTTATTCTTCAAATATAAAAATCAAAAGGTAACACAACTGCTCCCCTAACTAAAGCCAGCTGCAGCATTCTTTCGTGCTGCTCCCAGACCGCATGCGAGGGTTGCCGGCTGCCTTCTCCCCAGCTAAGCGCTCTCTGACCTTAATAGGAATTGTCCTTTTCGGGAACCCACAGGGCCTGGCCCCTGGAAGGGGAAGGACACTTTATTCATCTGCTGGCAAAAATAAAATAAAATACAACACCAAATTAAAGAGCTGAGCTAACAATGCTTACAAGAAAGAGGATTTTAAATGATCCCTGTAGGCAAAGTTCAAGATGGAAACTGCAGACTTTTGTCTACATTTCACTCAGATCTTCTCAAGCAGAACAAGGCATCATGCAGAGACCTCTGGGGTTGGTGGGAGGAAAATCAGGATTYTGCAGGATCTGCTGAAGATCTTGGGATCATCTCATGTCACTTCTGTATTATCCAGATACTCATCTATCAGGTGGCAGATAATGTGGACATGTAACTATACTTAGCCATGCAAAGCTCCCCTTTTCATCTCCAGGAAACTGAAGGAACTTCCCTTTTGTCAGAGTTGCAGTGAGAATTGCATCTACCTGTGCAAGCACAAAGSATTCAGATATTAAACATTCCCAATATCCCTTATAACATTCTTGTCCTAAGTGAAGTGTTCTAAGCAGAATTTCAGCCTATATCCATAACCATAAAGAACGTGAACATTCTGGAGGAAAGGCTCTTGCTTATAAAAGTCTACTCTGAATGTTTGTGTCTGTGCGTTCATAACCATGTTAGTGAAAGAGGAAGAGCGAGGCAGAAGAGGAAGGCTCCATACCCTGCGGAGGCAGTGGGTGGCACTCTCTGCACAGCACAAAGTCCATGCATGGAGCTTTCCAGTTGTAGCTATAATTGCTACAGACATGTTTTTCTAAATATTTCTTTAGCAGAGAGCTTGTTCTCTAACCACTGACAACACCATGTTCCAATTCCTGGTGCTCACTGCATGGTTTTCTGCTTACGTATTCCTATTATTTGATGTCGCTCAGTCTGCAAAACCTTATTAAAAAAAGAAACCTGTCCTAGCCACACACAGATAGTTCTGTTACTGGCAGACTGCAGTCAGGCTCAGGCATCCGGGTCCCCTCTCACAGCCAGGCAGGGAAAAATAAATAAATTGTTGGAAATGCAGATTATGGAACTAGAATTCAGGTCAACAGAATTATGTTATTAAAGACTTTTTTTTATTTATATATGTTTATTTATCTATTTTATTTATATATGTTATATATTTATAGTTCCTTCTATCTGAACAATTTTTAGTGTGTCTATTTTAGTATGGGCAAGTGTTTAAAGTGTTACTTCCCTAACTCATTTCTATAAACAGGAGAGCCTGTGTGAGGAACTGTGGCGTCTGATACAACAGCATGGTTTTAATCAACCTCTGGTCTATATTAAAAAAAAAAAAAAAAAAAAAAAAAAAAAAAAAAAAAGGCTGGGAAAGTATTAAAAACCAGCCCTGTGTGGCCAGAAGGTCTGCACATGAGAACTCTTGCGTACAGAGAATAAACTAAAGATTTAAGGCCTTGTTACTGAAACTATCTTGCCAATGCCCTCCTCCCGTTTAAAGCTGGATTCAGTTTGGCCACACCAGCTGCTTTGAAAGCAGAAACCAAGAGCTGCATTAATTTGGGGTGGGGGGACATTCTGTTAGAGTCTCTGTGGGGCTGGAGGGGTAGTTTCATTATCAAGATGTCTTACATATTTAAGGAAGTAAATTAAGAAAGTCACCATGTGTCAGTTTTTGGGGGGGAAGAAGGGAGGGACTGCTTTTAAGCATAGCTTTCCCACAGTAAATGATTTTTGTTGCCAGCCTGCAAGTAGGTTTCTACTTTTTTTTTTTTTTCCTTGGAAAATGCCTTTCCCAGCCTGGAGCTACTGCCCAAGAAAGGGCTGCCATTACACTCACAAGTCCTACCCACTAAGTGCCTAAACTTTGTTAAGGAACTCAAGAGCCCCCCAGATGGCCCAGTCAATGTGCCCATCCTCATAAGGGTGGTCTAGCACTTGGACCGCTTGAACCTCAGTCTTAATTCTAGATGTTGTCATGGCCAAGCCATAGCAATGAAGCATTGTGTGCCCAGATCTTGCTAGCAGAGGGATGGTGAGTTTCTGAGAAGAGGGTAAGCTTGAGCATTGGAAACCAGCCTATGTTCGTGCCTGTGGTACATGCTCAAGGTCTGCAGGCTGGATCTGCAGCAGAGCCCACAGCAGCCTATTTGCCTTGAAAGGATTATGGGTGCCTGCACTCAGATGACCCCTGGAAAGGAATCCAAATAACGGGGATGTAAGGTCCTTAAAAAGTGAGCTGCACTGCTAGACATGGGCTTATTCTCTTTCTTTTCTTT